TATTTAAATATCCTGGAAGTGTTTTAACAGGGGATGAAAAATTTCTCGAACTAGACTAGTATTCGAAATCTAGTCTTCGATTTCGAGTGTTGCTCAATAAAACAACCGGTGCATCCATAGTAAGCTGTAAGTCATCTCTATATTCTGTCCCATAATTCCGTTTGCCAGCCGTAAATTCGGTAAAGTAGTTTTTCATTCATTGTTCACGTTGTTCCTTTCATTTATTTTCAGCCATTTTGTAGGAAAAAGAAAGAATCAACACCAAAATTTCGTTTAACGTAGAATACCAAGTAATTAGGGATACTAGCAGCATGGCGCGGCGTTGCCCGTGCTTGATTCAAAAATCGTACGACTTATACAGCAATCGCTATCACTTGACTTAAAATACTTTTGCCCTTCCTTGCCTTTAAAGGAGTGCCCTTTGCCGTGCTAATGTTGCTACATACCTTACTTCTCACACTGCTAATATTTTTAAGCTGTATACTAAACATTAAATCTGTTACGAAAAAGAACTAAACAAAACGAACACAAAACGATCAGCTTTAAAAAAGGACACGTAACTGGAAAAACCGAATGAAAAAAGAATGTTAACAACAAATACTTTTTCACACCCAAACCTGTTCTGCGGAATCAGAATCGACGTTGAGTTTAAGCAAGCGAATGAGCCAATTTGAGTGAAGTGCCGTGCAGATTAAAATTTTTCCCACTTGTGACGAATGCAGCTATCGTTTTTTTTTGCATGCTAACATTCGTGTCAGTCAGCTGTTGGCTCTCACGCTAGCCAATAGAATCTTCCTGCCTATTCGTGGCAGCCAGCTATTGGCTCTCATTCTGGCCAGTACAAAATGTCCGCAAACTACATGAAAACTGCCGTAGAAGCATGAAAAAATCGATTATTTCCACTATCGATGGGAGATGGGAAATTCAAAGTCGGTCTTGGCCTTTCTGCTAACTTGTAGCATGTGCATGTAAATTTCGGTGCAAATCCGTCGAAAATTGCGGTCGTGCATTCGTTACACACACACACACACACACACACACACACACACACACACACACACACACACACACACACACACACACATCCTACCTTTTATCGATAGAGATATGTTAGTTACTATATGCAATTTTATAGCTGGTCGTAATTCAGGGTATCATTAAGTCGTTAAATGAGAGCTATTGTTTATATTATTCTGGGAAATCGATATATAAATTTTTATAGATAAGGAACGATTTTACAAAATTCTATGAAATAAATGAATTTTTTTTCCCCAAAATATACCACAAAATAAATTCTAGCATCCTCTTTCCTTCATGTGTGTGTGTCATCTCATCAACATAAACATCATTTTACTCCGACGTTGTTCTAAAAGGCGATACACATCACACGAAATATTTTTCTCACTTTGTCATACATCACTGTCTAAAGGAAATGCGTCTTGTATGAAGAGAAATACGATAACCATCATTATCAGGATTGGACATGAATACTCTTAAAAATGCTGCAGTATAAAAAAGTCACTGCCATTTCATAGATTTTGAAAGCACCAAGCAACGCTTGATGGGACAATTCTACGTATAATACCGTTAATGTATCTATTCTGTCGATGTAGCTGCTGTAAAGTTTATACTTAACTTTGAGCTATTTAAATTGATTAGCTCATTCAAACATAAGATGCTCCTTCCGCGTTGAAATCGTTAAATCTTTTCACGTGGTTTTGTCCTGAGATAAAGCAAAACTATTTTCTCTTGGAAAACCTGTCTAGCTTTCTGTTACAGACAATTCATTTTATTGCATATCCGTCTACAAGAGACGTGATCGAGCTTGTGTTGTGAGGAAACGTCGTCATTGTGCGGTGTTAGGTATACCTTTTATTACTGGCGCGTATCACCAAGTGTAACCGACACAAGTTTGGCCGACCAGTGAAAATAATGGAACCAGTGAATGATGCCGTAGATTTTATTGTTGGACAGCGGGTGTATTCGTCAACATCAATGTGTAATCGTCGTGTAGCGGGAATAAAATAAAGTACCGTATGTTAAAGTAGACGCTAACCACAGAGAATGGATTGGACGACAAGCTTTCGAATTTCTCTTGCGATTATTGCTATCACATTTCAGAATTAAATTGACAATCTTTGCTTCATGTACATTCCATAGAAAAAAAATGGACCCTCTCTTTTCTAGAATGATATGCAGTTTTATTAATAGCAGCTTGAAATCGGTTCTCATAGAGCGGAGTTCGAATTTCAGTTGTGCTCTTAGTGTTAACTTATAGGCAAATATCCTCGGGAAAAGCGTGAATCCATCTCCTCTCCCTTGGCTATAGGTTAATATGACTTGTATAAGTAAAATACTTTTTTATCATCAAATAATTGTTAATACTATATTCACTTTAAAAGCGTTATTATTTGGACATTTCTCTCCCCACACACGAATGTTTTGACTTTAAATTAACCACAAATGCTTGTTCAGCCTAAAAAATAAAACCAAATCCAGATCTTGAATGATACAAATGTAATTTTCTGTTATCTACTGTGTCCGTTCAGGACGTGTCCGATACCGGTTCTCTAAAACATCCTATACTTTGTAGCTCCTAGTAATCTTTGTCCGCTTAGTGTCACTCTCATTTTTTGCCATCAAATTATAAATGAGTTTTAGGTAAAAAGGGGGTAATTTGCTTGATTCAATTAATACACAACTGAGGACTCATTGCATGCGCAATAATCAAGATTATTCCGCAGCAAATATATGCAAAGAACGCCAGTAATGTTTGCCGCGACGCGAATGAGTTCGAATTTCCATTGTCGATAACTCCAAGACGATAGATATAATCAAAATGTCATTGTCATTTTCGATTTAAGCATTTATACCTAAATATAACTATTCGTTAATTTTTTATTACATTTTTAGCGAGGGGCTTAAAAAAAAAACAAATTACCCCAAAAAGATTTTTCTACAGAAGGATGTGGGGAATAACATGGATGGAACATGTAAGCAAGGATTATTTTTAAGTTAAAATTCCAAATAAATTTATATTTATATTTTCAGTCCTTCATAGTTTAATTTATGATTCCTTGATATTTCTAGGATACATAATATTGAAAGAGGTCTTGGAAAATTTAACATCGCCGCGAGCATATGAAAGGAATGTGTGTAAGAGCGAGTTAACAAATTAGCGATCTTGTCTAAATGGATATTGTAACACGGCTGGGTGTCATACTAAGTAGGTCAATAAGACTGAGAGCTATAAAAGACAGAAGGATGTGAAGAGCCGTGTGCACATTCATCGTTAAATAACACGGAACATAAAATATAATAAATGTTTTAATGGTATTAAATGACCGTAATTAAAATGCCAAGAGTATAATATTGGATTATAGAGAGATTTCTTTTAGTCTGGTAAAAGTTGATAAACCGGAAGTAGTTGTGATATCTCTTTGATAACATTTGTTATATAACTGTAAATTTTCTTGTCGTCCGATATTTTTCTGGGACTGCTTATTTTTAATTTACTTATGTTATGTAAATATAGCATATGCATTATATATATATATATATATATATATATATATATATATATATAACCATGTTCTTCAATGTCTTTATTTTATTTTGTTAAACTAACCAAACAAAAATTAATAGTGAATTTTCATGTTTATCGAAAGCCTATTGCAACGTAATAAAATGTATTTTCTACGAACATATACGGATATTTTTTACAAGCATCTAAATAAACTAAATTCAAAAGGACTAATCCAAGGAACGAGACGCCCAAATTGAAATGTCTCTCATCATATAAAGCGTATTTGTTATTCGAAAGACTGCAAAAAGACAATGCATCTGGTTTATCGATGGTTCTATTCGACAAAATGTTGTTTTATTTGGGTTGTAGCAAAATCGTCGGCTCTCATTCCAAAGCTGGCATGCCGGTAATGAATCAACTTTAACTGATTGCAATTATATCAGATCTTGTGATATTTTTAAAGGATTCTCTGATAGTGACGCAGAAGCGAGAGCTATCGGATGAGGGTCAGATAAAGTGATGCGGTAACACAACAGAAATGACCTGAAGGTGGGAAATAAAACAAGAAAAGATAAACAATGTGATTAGGAAAGAAAGAATCGCTGCAGAAAAGGGAAAAAATGAATACACCGACTGTAAATAAAAAGAAACTGAAAAGAAATAATTCGATTGCAATCAGAAAATTCGTTATGTAGAAGATCGTAGAAAGTTAAAAGTTAGAGTGAAATGAATGTAGTTTATTATGCGTAATTAAATAAAATTGCAAATATGCGTGTCGCAAAAAATAGGTGAACATTAATTAAGCAATGTAAAGAAGGAAATCAGCTGCAATAAAATGTATAAGGATCAAACAAAAATGTAAATGTTGAAGAAGAAAACAGTATAAATGAATAAGGAAATAATATCAAAAAAAGAAAATGGCGACGATCAAAACTTTTTGCCGATATATAGAATGAAACAAGATATTCAAAAATTAAAAAAAAACGATACAGACAGATCATGGAGAAAGAATGTAATAACTAACGTTATAATAGAAAAATAAAAATAAAATCGCCAAAAAGAAAAAAAAAGATTTAGTAGAAAAATGAAAAAAACGGACTAGAAATAAAAGTAAAATAAAAAAAAATATCAAGAACTGCACGAAAATATAAAGGAATTAATATGGAAATTTTGGGAGGCTATGAAAGATTAAAATTGAGAATTATCTGAAATCGAAAATCCAGATTCAAAGCGAAAAGACAAGGTAACTTTGAAATAAAACTTGAATTATAAAGAATAATAAGAAAATGAAAGCAGATCTGTCAATCTGAAAATAATGTAAAAATGGCGGACGAACATAAATTCTGGTTAATGCCAAAGACGAAAAGAAAATATAAAATAAGAAAAACGAAAGAAAAAAAAACTGAAAAAATTGGGAAAGCACGTAAGATATATATTGCCTTGAAACTGAAAAGTTATACATTTTTGCAGGCAAATGTCGTCGGTATTCGACCAAGAGTTAGATGTTATGTATAATGATTACGATGCTGATCATCGTCATGATCATCATAAGTTCTATGGCCGGCTGTGGTCATAGTCGCTGCGCAGAGGAGCACTTGATCAGTTTCCTCTACATATTTGTGCTGAGAGACGGAGCGTTATTTATTCATACGAAGGTTGTACTCTCTTGAGAAAGTACACCTGGCGGATACTATTCCTCTTTAGGTAACTGATGTCCTACTCGTCGATTCCATCGGGAGAACTCTCTTCACGGGCAGCTGAAGTCCGTCCATTGATACTATGTCATCACTACACTGCCTCCATAGCTATGGAGAGCAACCTACTCCATTATGCTAGATCGTTGTTGACTACCATTTCATATATATTGTTTTGAATCCTGGTAGCTGTTTAGCAACTATGCACACCTGTTATGGGAGCAGGATTGGTCACCGACTACCCAACTATGCAACACGGGAAGCTGGGTTTCAAAAGACACCAGTAACACTCGTAGAGTGGTCTTACTTAAATATTACGAATGCAAATCTTCAAAATTGTTAGCATCTCCCTAATTGGAGTATTGACGCATCACAATCTTTATAATTGAACTTAGTATCTTGAAAACAGTAGTAAAAAAGAAATGCGTGCTTAAAATAAAAACAAACATTGATCAAATGTAGAAAACACGAAAAATGATAAACATACAGGAAAATGTGCATTTGACAAAGGGAGAATTAATCAAAGAATACTCGATCCTTGTTGATTAGTAAAGGAATTAAGATACGCCTATTATGTATTGTCGGGAAAATATAAATATCCTTGTCTACTTCGAACGGTTTAAAAAGAGCAGACATAAAATGTAGGTAGATTTGCCTAAACTTGAGTCATACCTGCGTATAGAGCTCATTTTAGGGCCGTCTGTCCATTAGAGAAGCATATAAAATTATTTCCATTTTTACTGGTGTGGGAGAGTGTTGTGAAAGACAATACTTAATTAAATTTGAATTCGTAGATGCAAATAATTATTATCATTTATTTACCTCTTTTATAAGGCGTGGGAGTTCATAGCTCTTCACAGCTTCCGATTCCTCATATCTATAAGATTAAATCTATAATCTCCTCCCTTGCTCTCGATCTGCAATACATGCACAGAAACCCATTATGTAAGCTCTTTACTATTTCTCTTTAACACTCTTTCCGATCAATATATTACGTGAGTGTTAAATTTGGAAAGCTGTCCTTCCTCGGAATTCGTCCAAGACGTTTCAAATATCTCGTCACAATGTTAAAGATAGATCTCTCTCTGACCTCCATTTTCTATAAAATTTTATTGTTGTTCATATTTTTCATGCCTGATATTCTCAGTATTTGTTTGTAGAATCACGTCTCTCTGGCTTCGAGTCTTTTTTCCATGTGAAATGAAATTTTCTTTGATTTATTACTATGTTCGAGAATATATAAGAGTCATTTTAATATGTGTGTTTTGAACAGACTTTTCCTATATCTCAATATTTTGCTTAAGTTCAGGTTTCCAATCCCGTGAGCCTTTAGATTTACATGCCACATTTCAAGCGTCTGTTATTTTACTATTCAGATCGTTCAATTTCCGTACCGTCTTGATTGTGATGTCTCCAATTCGAAACTTTCCGCGCGGCCATACATGTTGCCTTTTTAGCGTTTATCGTTTCTTCTCACTTTCCTTTGTTACTCGGTAGAAAAATTCGGATGACTTCTTCTTTTCTTCTTCTTTTTGTCTCTTTAGTCCTACTCTCCTACTTTCTTCTTCTCCTCTTTCCTCTTCTTCTTCTTCTTCTTCTTCTCCTTCTTCTTCTTCTCCTCTTTCCTCTTCTTCTTCTCTTTCCTCTCTCTTCTTCTTCTCCTTGTCCTCTTTCCTCTTCTTCTTCTCCTTCTTCTTCTTCTCTCTTTACTCCTACTCTACTTTCTTCTTTCTTCTTCTAATTGTTCATCCTCATTCTTCTTACTTTTTCTCCTCCTCCTTATTCTTCTTCTTACTCCTCCTCCTCCTTCTTCCGTCTTCTTCCTCCACCGCCTTCTTTTTCTTATTATTCATCCTCCTTCTTACTTCTCATCCTCCCCTTCGTTCTTATTCTTATTCCTCCTCCTTCTTCCGTCTTCTTCCTCCATATCCTCCTGCTTTGTCGTCTTCTTCTTCCTCCTGCTCCTTCTTCCTCCTTCTTTCCTCCTCCCACTCCTTCTTTTTACTCCTCCTAATCTTTCTTCTTCCGTCTTCTTCCTCCTTTTCCTCCTGATTCTTCTTCTTCTTGCTCCTTCTCCTCCTCCTCATTTCTCGTGGGCGATTATGGCTTTCCATGATCCCCTGTACTTTGTACCTCTTTTCAAATTTTGTCTTTTCGCTATCTCCCCTCATCCCTGTTCTAGTCAACCATTTACGCAAGATTGTTGGGTAGCTAACCTCTGATTCTGTCTGCCTCTCTTAAACACGTCGTCAACGGCCATTCTTCAAGATTAGATTATAAGTAGGTATTCAAAATTTGATTTTCAATGGAAGAATGTCTTCATTTTTTTTTTCGTGGATTACCAGAACAGTATTTCTACCTTCCACTTTTGTAAAAAACTTTACATAGGAAATATTTATTGTCCTATGGCAATTGAAGTAGGTTTTTGGTTGATTGCTCAGAGGTGAGAGAGGTTGAAGTTGCCACAAAAGATAGAACCACAGAATCTATTTTCTTAATACTACCAGATAGAAACGGAAAACAGGTTTATAAAATGTTTCAGTCGTTATTGACTGAAATAATATTTATAATTTATTTTTAATTCACTGCTCGAAATAAATCGTGCATGGGTGTTACTTTTTATATTCTGGAAAATAGAAAAAAGTTATGTATTATTGCGAAGTAAGTCAGTAAGACAATGTTACACACACACACACTCCCAGGCACGCACACACACACACTCCCAGGCACGCACACACACATACAGGCATTATTAAATAATAATGAGGTACAAAGCCAAAGATATAGCAGACAGAAAACTCCAAAAGTGAGGCATGAAGTGAAAATCGAAGATGTGCTGGACCGAAGACTGTTAGCGACGCGAGCAGAGACAGCGAGCCGGGTTCAACTACCGACTCAGTCGTTTACGTTCTCATTTGCACTGATGCCTTTGGTAGAAGCAAGAATTCATTTATTTTCTTTTGACTCTGTAGACTGGGTTCTCCAGTCTTGGCTGTCATTAGGAAGATTAGACTACCAAATTCAAATATAAATTTCATCACTTGGTTTACATCAGACGGGTAAAGAACTACATGAAATCGGATTAATGAAATGTAATTTTTAGTGATGCAGAGCTACGGTTCTTAGGCCTGATATCTTGGCTACAAATTGAATCCATCTTTCAGTCAACCCATGTGAATTAGAACACATTAAGGTAGACAGAAGATTTTTTTCTGAGTAGTGCAGCCTCTTAATTCATTGGACCTTTTGAAATTTGAGGATATTGTCAATATAAATGCATAAAATGATTGTAATTTTTAGACAAAGGTTTGTTTTCGTGATAGAGGAAAAAAACCTAACAAGGGAAGACAACTCTAAATTACAATAGATGGAGAAGGAAAATATCCTCTTTATTTATCAAGATAATACCAAAAAAAAAAAACATCTGACAATCTGATTGTCTATTTCCTGAAAGATCATTAAATCTGCTTAACTGCTTTGAAGACCTTAATTTCTTCCGACATATAAGTTGGCGCAATATTATTCAGAGATACAAAAAGAAAAAAAAAAGCTCTGTTTCTGTGCGTGTCGGCGATATCGGAAAAAGTAAAGTAGATTACCAAGCCATACCGACCATATATCTTGGCAGTCTAATATCCTAATGAGACCTGTAGATCTTAGATAGGCTATACTTGTTCGAAACTTGTGGACAAAAACAAATGACAGAAACCTCATCAACTGAGCAATTTCATCATCAGCAAAACTATAATGATTTATTACATAAATAGAAAAGAAAATCAATGACATTATCAACATGTTGACCTTCCACACTAGTATAGGCAAAAAGTTAGAAAGGAAATTTCCATCTATACGGAAAAAATTGATTGGAGTTAATTCCTTCGAGACAAAATATTTTTCTTTAAATTGTCTTATAAATTTCAACCTACAGTAGCAATTCAGACAATGATTTCCAAATGTTTCCTTATAAGAAAACAGCTTATTCTACCAATCCAAGAAAATATAGATGTATGTAATTTATATTTACTTTTATACTGAACCTAAACATTGTAATTCTTGCTTATTTTGCTAAATCTCTTTAAAGTGTCTTAATTGTACATATTAGGCGTTCTCATCTTGCAAAAAGACATTATCAATACTTTCAGAAATGTTTACTCTAAGAATATCCAGATTGCAACGTCTTACTTGCCAAATATTTCAAGCGAGATAACTTGTGACACGGAAAGATCAATGCAAAGCAGCGGAAGACTAAAACTAGCAACAAGTCAAGAGGACAGAAGACTGAAAAAAAATCATGTACTGAAGTATCCTTACAACAAAGACAAACGTATGGAAAACTCCTGAAATTCAAAAGGTCATTTTATTTATATAGCAACTTCCAAACATAAAGCTGTTTTTCTGCTTCACAAAATTATATACAAAAACACATCTCTTCAAAACTATCTTCAGTGAACAACTCAGTTTTTCGTCCCATTTTATTTATTGTCATTTCTGGAAATTCTCGAGTGACGCGATGAAATTTGATTTGATAAACGATTCTTTATAAAAAAATCTCCGAAGATCTGTAGAAAGATTTACACCATACTGACAGTATATTTGTGTAGTATATGAAGGATTTGAATTTTACATTTTTGATGTGTTCTGCCTCTGCTGTTAGCAAGCAGGAAGAATACAAAAAGTCCGTTAATGCAAAGAAAAACCCAAATATATTTAATAAGTAGGGCTTTCCAAACTTTGGACAGGCTTTGTACTGAGAATATATATATGCTTTCGTAAATGTATAAGTAAAAACTAAGTTATTTTGTATCCGGCTTTTGCATTGTGCGATTCTATTTATCCGCGGCCAAAAACGGAAATGAAAAATTCTAAATTTGTATAAATTTCTTTTAAGTGGTAGAGTGAAAGTTTAACCTGGAAATAAAGGATGCCCGCTGATATGGCTTCGATTTACTGTAGGAACTTATATATAGATAAGAAGTCATTTCATTTCTCCTCAATGTAGGTTAGATTCACTGTGCCTTTTCTATGAATAATTTCATGGCAATTTTTCAGATGAACTCTTCGCTATGGTACTAAGTCTTTAGGAATTTAAGCGCATTACAAGATTGGCAGGACGTTTCTGATCGATTGACAGTTAAGTTGGGTTGATGTAAACGTAATTTCTATACGAACAGTTACTTTTGTCGCAATTCTCGCCTGTGGAAAACACTTCCTTCACCACGCTTTCCAGCCAACTTTGATCTTGAATAATATAAATGCAATGTCAATATATATATATATATATATATATATATACTGTATTCTTCATTACTTTTCTATTGTTCTCGCTCTTTATTAAAGTATTTTTTTAGTTTTTCACACTCTGTTATCCTTTGTGTCTTACTGGCTTTACTGTTTTGCATGGTGTGATATGTTTAAAACAATTATAGTGCGTTCATAGAACTGCAATATTTATTATTATTATTATTATTATTATTATTATTATTATTATTATTATTATCTATTGTGGTTAATTTCCTATTGTTTCTGATTTAATCTTTAAAATTATCAACAATTTCGAGGCCTTGCTATGATGCGACGCCGCTATTTCCGGAAATGAGCAGAGATGCACTGTGCATCAGACCCTAGGGGATATGGTTAACCGATTCAGTTCAAGACACTGACATGTAAATCTGTAGTACCGAATAAGATATTTACTGAAGTCGTGTTCAAGACAAATGTAAATGCTATCACAATCAGTTAAGGAGAAACAGCTTTTTCTTGTATACTACTATTACTTTATTTTCTTTGATTTCTGGTGTAAAATCTTTTCTTTCCAGTTCTCAACCCGTGCCATAACATCAGAAATGGCATCATCAAATATTCCACTACGCATTATTTTGTTTGAAAAACCAAAAATTATTACAGCATTTTACATAAATCCCTACGTAAGTTGTGAGCTGTATATTTGAGTACGAAGTTTTGTATTTCTTTAAAGATTGGGCTATAAGAAATTTCTTCAGTGAATCTCTCGGAACCTTTTCCCAATCAATCAGAGGTATCATGCTACAACTGGAAGTATTGATGTTCTCACGTACAACATTTGTGAGATTTCTATTTAAAGATCTTTTTAATTTGATAGTTCTTTGATGATCTTCAAAAATACATTGTAGTCTGCAGGGTCTTCCATGTCAATTAAGAAAGTATATTCTGATTTTGTGGACTCTGGTTATGATGTCTGGTCAATTAGCTTTCATTGTTCTATTTGTGTGTATTGTAAAGTCCCAGAAATTATTACCCGTTCTATCTTTGTAACCGAGTCTAGGCTGTGTCCATGCGAAGTTCTTGCACTTTCCTTTCCGGAAAAGTTGCATATTTTCCAATACAGATATTGGCTCACTCTGTCATCCTGGGTTTTATATTCACTGGGTACCAGTACCGTGCAATCCCTCACAAGATAGCTAATTAGTTCTGGATATTTATCACAGAATCTGCATTTGGGCTAACAATTTTTCAGTCCGTCAGCTTGGAAATTTCTAGTTAGGAATCATTGTGTTTGGGCAACAAGAAAAAAACCTTTGATTTAAGCTATTAACCCTTCCCTATACAACAACCGATGGACACACGGATTGTCTACATCAGCTTCTGTGGTACGGGTAGAGTATTGGGCATGAAGAGGTTTATCTTGTTTCTGTATCAAATATACATTACAACTTGCAGGGATTGCCAAGTCGATAAAAAGCATATTCTGTTTTTCTGGCCTTTGATTGTATTATATCTGTATTGTAAAGCTCCCTAAAATAGTTACAGGTCCTATCTCTATTATTATTATTATTATTATTATTATTATTATTATTATTATTAATTAAATGCCATATTCTTATAATTATTGTTTCGGTATCTTTATATATTGAAAGATATGATGAAACATATGTTGTAAAATGTAAAACTTTCGTTGTAAAAGCCTCGAATAACAGCACTAGATATTTTATACTATAAAATGAGCAGTTCCTTCATAAAATCAGACAAAGTATTCTGAAATTCTGAAGTCAATAAAAGAAAAAAAAAAATATTAT